TTCTTGAGTAAGGGAGCGCAAAACTGTACACAGTATTCTAAATGAGGCCTTACAAGTGATCTATCTGTACAGTGAAACAATAATATCCCTTGTCTTGTATTCAATATTTCTATAGATGCTACCAAAAATTCTATTAGCCATATTCCTAGCTACAATACACTGTTTAGATGACTTAAGTGATTTTTCAATCACAACACCAAGATATTTTTGTTCAACCACAGTATTCAATGTATTCCCATTGAAATTGTAACAGTAATTTGAATTGTGAAAGCTTACATGCATCACTTTGCATTTTGGATAGTTAAACATCATCTCCCTGTAAGTCTGCAACATTTTTTATACAGTTAGCCACCCTAAAAATCTTAATGTCATCTGCAAACTTCAAAATTTTGTTAGCCATTCCAGAGTCAATATTATTAATATAGATCGTAAACAGCAGAGGACCCAGCACGGAGCCCTGAGGCACACCGCTTGTAACTGTGATCCAGTCAGATCTAACTCCGTTTATTACCACTCTCTGCTTTCTTCTCTCCAGTCAATTTTCTATCCATTTTAATAACATTTTCACCACACCCACAGATTTTATTTTTTTTAACAAGTCTTTTTTGTGAGTCAGCTTGTCAGATGCTTTCTGAACATTAAGGTAAACCAAATCCACAGTATTTCCTTCATCAACTCTTGCAGTAACATCCTCAAAGAATTTCAGAAGGTTTGTTAAACAAGACTTTCCCTTAGTGAAACCATTCTGGCTCTTTGACACTATATCAAACTGCTTTAAGTGACTCTGCAATGCATCTTTAATCATACTGTCCAAAAACCTTTTCAACTACTGATGTAAAACTGGCATATAATTGCCTGGACAATATTTATCACCACCTTTAAATATGGGACTAACATTAGCCAACTTCCAATCTTCTAATACTCTTCCACTACTCAATGACCTATAAAAATATTAGCTAGCAGTTCATAAATAAAATCTTTAAATTTCTTTAAAACTCTAGAATAAAAGTTGTCTGGTCCAGAGGATTTATCAACTTTTAGGTTTTCTAACTTTTCTCTTATAATTTCAGAACTTAAAATTATATCTTATACATCAGTGTTTTCCCCATACATTAAGTGCTCTAGTTGAGGCATAATACTGGTATCTTCCTTCGTAAGAACTGAAGAGAACATATAATTTAGTACGTTTACCATCTCACAATCTTCCGAGATCAGCTCCCCACTATCATTTTTAAGAGGCCCAGTCCCCATCCTAGCATTTTGCTTACCCATAATGTACCTAAAGAATTCCTTATTGTTTTATTTAACTCTATCAGCCAACCCTTTTTCATATACAGTTTTTGCCATTTTAACTTCCTTTTTAACCAGCTCTCTTGATTTCCTATAGTCCTCCAAATCCTTATTGTTTCAAGTAAGTTTAAATTTCTTGAATTTATTATGTTTATCCCTAATATGATCTCTTAAATCTTTACTAAACCATACTGGCTTGTTTTGCTCCATTGCCCTTTTTTTCTGTAGGGTATACGTATGTTCTATATGCATATAAAGTTTTCTCTAAATACTCTCCATATCTGTTCAAGATTGCCCTCCCAACTGGTTAGCCAGATCATGTCTCATACCATCAAAATTGGCTTTCCTTAAAGTTGGAATCAGGATATTATTCTTCTTCAATTCTACGTGTAGTAAAATCCCACACCTAACAGTGCAATGATTGCTTTAACTTAAATGCTCACCAACCACAACTGTCTCTCATATTTACATCGGATGCTAATATTAAACCTAATGTAGCTCCCTCTCTTGTAGGTTCCATCATCAGTTGGTGTGTAAAAGTATCCTGAACAATTTCCAAAAACTTATCCCCCTCACTGTCAGACTTGAAATTTCCCCAATCATTACTCTTGAAATTAAAATCTTCCATAATAACAACATCTTTTTCAACTACCATTCTGATCTTATTATATAGTTTGTCATTAACTTTTACATTCTGATATGGTGGTCTATAAGAAATCCCAATCACAAGACTTTTCCCTTTATATCACCAACACTAACCCAAACTGACTCAACCTCAGTGCTATTTTCTTTAATATGCTCTAACTCAACAGAATGCAATTCACTCCTCACGTATAAAGTTATGTGATTTGGTAATAGACGTGAATATCTAAATTGAAATGTATTATTGAGTTTTTTTTTTTATCTCATCTCTTTGTAGATAGTAATATGTATTGTTCTCTTGAACTTTTGTTCTTTTTAAATTGTGTTTTAACACTTGGTATTTGCATAAATTTCACTATTGTTTGTTTTGTAGTACTCTTGCTCTGTGCAAGTTATTAGAACATGGAGTGGAAAACAATGACCAGAGGTTGGTGGCCATCAGTGTCAAAGGAGACCAAATCTTCAATTCCATTTCAGAAATCCGAACTCGCTCTAAATCCTCTCAAAGTAAGATATTGTATGCATATTTTGGTATTTACAATAATAGTTTATTGGATATAATGGATTTTTCTACATGAATTTGGATAAGGATTACAGATATTATAGGTGAACTG